AGCCGATGCTCATCACCCTGATCCCAGCGAGGGGCTGCCCTGATGTGGAGGTGAGGGAAGGCTCATCTGGGCTGGCACCCACCAGGTCCCATGGGAACCCCGTGGTGTCTCTCTACACCATCCAAGACAGACGGACAAGACCTGATGACATGGAGTGATTCCCACTGTGGTGACAGTGGTACTGGCACCCATCACATGCAAAGGGACATCCGGGAGCCTCTAATGTATGGTTGCTTGTCCTGGGTTCAGCTATAGCAGTCATTTTTTCTCCTTCTTAGTGCAGTGCTGTGTTTCTTGACTTTCAGTCTGGGAACAACGCTGATAACACCCATGGTTTTAGTTGTTGCTCAGTAATGTTTACTCTGACCAAGGACTTTCTCAGTCTCATGCTCTGCCAGAGAGGAGGGGAAGCCAGGAGGAAGCAGAGACAGGACACCTGACCCAAACTGGCCAAAGGGGTATTCCATACCACAGCACGTCATGCCCAGTATATAAACTGGGGGGAGTTACCCGGAAGGCCCAGATCGCTGCTCGGGTCGGGCTGGGGATTGGTTGGCGGGTGGTGAGCAGTTGTGTCCTGCGCCCTTGTTATTCCTCTTATCATTATTATTGGTAGCAGTAGTGGTTTGTATTATACCTTAGTTACTGGAGTGCTGTTATCTCAACCCGTGGGAGTTACATTCCTCCGATTCTCCTCCCCCTCCCTCCGGGAGCGGGGGGAGGAAGGAAGAGGGGAGGCGTGAGCGAGCGGCTGCGTGTTTCCAAGTTGCCGGCTGGGCTTAAACCACGACATTGCTGCAGGCACACTGGACAGGCACCAGGTTTTGGGATGGCCAAAAGCTCACAGGTCATGAGCAGCAGTGGGACCTGGCTCACAGGTTGAAATCAAAACACCATTTTCCTGACAGCCAGTGCTAGGCTAAAAACCAGAAATGACCCAATAGAGTTGCATTTAATTTTTAAAAGGGGAAAAAAATGTAAAGTCAAGAGGATTAAGTATCACATATGGCACAGATATTGTCTAGGAAGACCAGCTTAGCTTCCCTCTGAGCACTTAAGCTGGTATTAGCAAATACAAACCCTAAACAACATTCCAAAGGGAAAGTCTAAATGGAAGCCAGCAGGATTCAATCATTTGAGAGAAGCTGATCAGAAATAAGATAAAAGTTCTAAACTTGCTGAATCTGTCTCAACATAAAATGACCTCTGGTAACTGCAAGACAAACAATGAAGACACCAGAATTTGGTCCCTTGCTCCTCTGCTTTGAGGAATATCAGCTGCACTTACATATATTCCTTTCTTCAAAGGCACTGGGAGCAGGAATTTAACAGTACAAAATGTTTGACCAGTTTCCAGTCGAATTCAGAGTGAGTCTTCAAAGGAAATAAGCTGATAGAAAAGTGAAGAAACTGCATCCACCTCAGGTGAGGAGGAGCTTTGGTGGACCCCAGCCTGGGTGATCTCTTTGGCAAACAGCGAAAAAGGTCCTACCAATACAGAGGGCAAGAGAGAGGAGATGACATTTGCAGTCAACATAAATCAGGTATGAAACTTCAACTCTTCACTGCAGCAACTGCAGCAACTGCAGCAACTGCAGCATGTCACCTGCTGCTTACACTCACCTTTGCTACCTCTAGTTTCACCAAAAGACTAGAAGCAAACATGCTGGCTTTGGAAGAGGTTGTCAGAGGTAGAGAGACTGTAGACAACTAGATGTGCTGGGCAGTGCGGGCAGATGCTCAGAAAAGCTGTAATAAAGGACAGACCTGCATGGTGTGTGGACAAATTATGTCACAGAGGAGACTGAATCCAACTTCTGCACAGGAACATCACACCTCAGAAATGCACTTTCTGGAGGAGTCAAGATATGGATGTTGGACATCCCCTGGTGCACTGGGAGGGGTCTTTATAAAAGCTTGCAGGGGACAAGATGCCATAGACTAGAAAGGAAGATCCTCACTTGGATAATGGATGGCAGAGAGAGAGAAAAAGGGAGGAAGATCACACAGGGAGCTCACTGTGATGACAAATGTCTTGAAAACGCCTCATCAACATGCAGCAAGAGGAGAAGTTAGGAGAAGATGGGGGAACAGGACAAGGGACCATGTGAATCTAATCCACGGCTTCTCAGCTGGGTGGAGGTCCAGGTCTGGTCACGCAGCCCCAGCAGGGACAGGGCCTAAGTAGGGGAGGGACAGAGAAGTCTGAGGGGTACCGCTGGGAGAGCAAGGAGACTTCTTAAATATTGAAGATCTGGAACAGCACCGTGAGCACGGATAGAGAAGATAGTCTGGCATCACCAGTAAGCACCACAGCCATTGGCTGGGAGTCTCCAAATAGCTCCTTAAAGTCAAAGTCTTGTCCAGCACCTCCCTTGCCCCAGCACTCCTCCGCTCTCTCCAGCAGCCAGTTGGGACCCAAGTGCCTGGGCTGATCTCCACTGCACCAACCCCATCCCTGCCAGCCCATCCCACCAGTGAGCGCCCACAGTGCCCGGCAGTGAAGCTTTCGCTGCAGGATGCCACCAGTGCCGAGAAAGTGCCTTACTCCAGAAAGCCCTTAGAAACACTTAGAGAAGAAAAGTTCCATGTCAGTAAATACACAGTGACATCTGGCCAGATTTGCTAGGGGATAAAGGAGAGCAGGTACAACCCTTTTGTCACCCTGTCCCTTTGTGCTTCTCCTTGCCTGCTGTTGAAGACAGAGGGACTGCATGGTCTGACGAGCATTGGATGAGCAGCAGGTACAGGGACAGGCTTGATGGGTGGGGGCTGCAGTGGGGATCCCACCCCTGCACTGTACAGAGGGGACTCACACCCAGGGAAGGGTCCGGAATGACAGCCTGTGTGCATCTGGGGCACAGGGAGAAAACAGATGGACAGAAGGAGGAGTGGAAATTGCCACAGGCAGAGGAATAATCTCAGCGCTGCCTGAGGTGATGCCTGCATACAGCAGGGAGGAAATGTTTGGCTGGACCATGATGCGGACACTCTGCAGCTCACCATCACACAGAGCCCCTGGCGAAGTGTGTTGATGGCAGTGGGATGCTCTCATCTGCACCAATAAACGTACCAAAACTAAGGCTTCAGGCAAAGCCTGGTGTGAGCCTGGTGTGAGCCTGGTGTTCCTGGGAGGGCAGTAAACACTGACTTGTTCAGTACAAACTGCCATAACGCTGGGCTTTTTCCAAAGAGGGTGGAGATGACGCTGGGATGGGAAGTCCCAGTGAGGCTCTTGCCCTGGGATGTGTCCAGCTCTCATGATCTGCAGATCAGGAGAGGTGGTTTCCCACATGGTTTTTCCCAGTCCATGGGAGGAGGAAGGAGCACTGGGGAATGTTCTGAGGTGCTCAGCTGCTGGGACAACACCTTCCAGGGGTACCTGCTACCATCACACAGCAGCAAGGCAAACCCTGGGCTGAACTGAATGCCCATCTGGCTGAGCAGGGACGGGCAGGGTCCTGTGGAAATGCCACCAGAGAGGAGTTTGGAGGAATTTCCTTTTCCAGGAGAGGCAGAAGCTGCTTCATACCCTGTCAGACCTCACTGCCTGTGAGGGCTGCCTGAGCCCTGGAGATGAGCATGTGTGAGGGTGCAGGGCATTGCTGGGCACACGAGTGACCCAGATGGGTTGTGGTTTCTCCTGTGTGGATTTGAGGGGCTGAACAAATCAGGAGGGGAAGGGTGGAGTGGGATTTCAGAAACAGATGCTCAAAGCTAGACAGTGCCTGGGGGCAGATGTCCACCACCCCAGACAATCTGACTCCAGTGGGGCTTTCTCTGCCTAGTGCCCAGGGACAGAGACCATATGCAGCCCCACACCAGTCTGAAGGTTTGGGTCTAGAGGACTCAGACACCAACCTTCCACCAGCCCTGCAGCACTGAGGTGCTGAGAGGTTCCTAAGCTGAGTCTTGTACTCCAGGGGAGCAGAGGCTGCCATCGCAGCAGGGTTAGCAAAGGGAAGGTCAGTTGGATGGTGGTGATGGTTGCAGCTCTCCAACTCCAACTTTAGTTATGTGGCCAAGTCCCACAGCCTTTCTCCACGCAGCCCCTCATGTCCATGGGATTTTCAGCCTCACTGCATCCCATATTTGAGCTCTGCCTGGCCGTGGTCCTGTCCCATGGGAGGTACCCAGGAGGGAAAAACTTGGTGGGCTCTGAAACTGCCCTCACTTGGGTGAGCTCAGCCCAGGATGCTCCCCAGTGCAGATGTGGAGGACAGCAGAAGGGACCACATGCCTGACCATCCCGGGTTATTCCCAGACAGTTACACCAAGCGCCAGGGTGAGCTGTTGTTTATTTGGTAAGAAGGAGGGACTGAATGCTGGAGGAGCAGGGGATGTGTCAGTGCCTTGACCACTGAGCTTGGAAGACAGATGCAGAAGCAGCAGCCTGGAGTTTCAGGATGTGGGTCTTGCATTGCTTGGCAGGAATAGCCATCAGCCAGCCCGCACCTCCTGGAAAACAGTGGGAAAAGTGGGATGAGCATTTCAGTGAGGAAGCCAAAGGAGAAGGCCAAGTGGGGCTCCCCATCAGCATCAGTGTCTTCTATACTAGTTGTCCCCCGCTCTGTAGGGTGAGCCATCTCCAGCAATGGAGCCAGCCCTACATCTGAGTCTGTATCAGTGTGGTGGGACATCACATGCCAGGGTGGGCCAACAACAAACCCAATCTCTGGCCAGTTTTGCTAGTGCACAGCCCCGAGGCCCCTTTGGCCAGATGCAATGTCCTGGCCCTGGCTGCTGCAGTAGCTCTGCAGCTCTTTCTCCACTGAACTGGTGGTTTTGGTTCAGGTGCCCTTGCTCACCACTGGGCAGCTGCACCCTGGGGGTCTTCACTGCAGAGCCACTCCAAAGGGAACAGTCCTACATGGGAGTCAGGTTCAAACAATATGGCTCCCAGAGTAATTCAGAGTTCACAGTGGCCTTTGCTGGAGCACCAAGGGGGCAGTTTCCAGCTGAGGACATTGCAAACACCACATTGCACTACAGCAACTCACCTACACCTCATCGAGGCTGCATTCATCTGTGAAAATAAAGAGAAAGGCTGTGTCATGCCGTGACATGCCAGGCCAGCGTGCCTCTGGCTACCAAGGGCAACACTTCCTCCTGCCAGCTCAGACTGCTGAGTGGTGGCAGTGATGGACTGAGCTGGCATGTCCTGGCTCAGCCACGCCAGCCCGACACGTGCGGGCAGCACTCACCCTGGGCGGGCAGCATGACGATCATGTCATTGGTGAAGCTCCTCTGCCTCGCGAGCTTCCTGAAGAGCACTGCCTTCCTGGGGCTCACCTCCCGGGTCTTGCCTAAGGGCAAAGACACGAGTTAGCTCCAGGATGTGACCTGTCTTCGCATCTCCTGGGCACCTGGTGAGTGCACCCAGTCGAGGATGGGATGGATGATGGTTCCCAGGGGAAGGTTGGAGGTAGTGGAGAAGGTGCTGGAGGGTGATGGTGGCCCTGCGCATGAGACACCCCTCCCAGGAGACAAGACAAAGTGGAGGTCCTGGCACCAGCACAGCGTCTCCTCTCTTGGTTTCCATCCCACCACTTGCAGCAGGTCCCCCTCTCTTTGCCCCATTTCCCCAGGTGACTGACCCGAGGCCATGGACTCCCCACAGGGTGCAGAAGCCTGAGCCCACAGTCCCCATCCAGCCCCAGACCACTGCCCCTTCCCCTGCCACACCAGTCCCACTCCTGCAGCCCATCCAGGGCAGGAGGGCAGGGCTGAGGAGGGCTCCCCGCAAGTCCCCTGGCTAATGGCCTCCTCTGTGAATCTCCCCGACACCCCCAAGCTGCCCACTCTGCTCAGACCACCACTGGTCACGCACTGTAGAGCCTCAGAGCATGCAGGGTCTTCCCGTCCTTCATTCTGGTGGCAAAGACCACTGCGTATGTCTTGCCATCCGTGTCCACCACCTGAGCTGTCTTATTGCCTCTGTCTGCAAAAGGACATACAAGAAAGGGAACAATTAATCACTTTCCAGAATTCCCACCCTGAAAACAGGCTGTAAGAGCATGAGCCCGGATGCCAGGGGCCGGGCCCACACAGTCTTCTGTGCCTCCCTCTCCTGGCTTTTCCTCTTGCGGAGGCTCCTCTGAAAGCCTGGGGGAGCCCACAGACCGCAGCAGAGCAGAGGGACTGGGAAATGACCACAGGAGATTCTGGGGTCAGTCACTGCAGAAAGCGGAGCACCACAGACAGACTAACACTGGGAAACCACTTCCACTCCATCCCTTGGGAACAGCCACCCAAAGCCCTTTGCAGAATTAACCTGCTTCTCCCCAGGATTTAAGCTTGGTCTGGACATGTCTTATCCCAGAGGGAGGGAGCTGGGGGATCCACCCGCTGTTGGGACACCAGCCCTGGCACAGACCAGCCCTCGGGGGCAGCAGCTGCAGAGGGATGTCCCACACAGGGCCTCAGAAGGGCTGTGTCCCCAGGGACAACTGGCTGCTTCACATGGGGATGATGGGAAGCGCCTCTGCCCTGTCCCCACTCACCAGAGCTGTAGTATTGACCCAGGACTCCTGCTGGCTTGTAGATCGACACCAGTCTCATACATTGCCCTGGGCTGCAAAGCAGTGGAGGATGCTTCAGCTGAGGTGAAGTGACCCCCCTTCCTTCCCCTGCAGATGAGGGCTCTGGGGTTCCCCCAGACGTGGGACTTGCTAGTGTGGCCAGGGTAGGGATGGAGACAGAGCAATGGGTGCCTGAGCTGGTCTGAGGGGTGTCCTGTGGGGTCACGCAGCCCTTCCCTTGCTCATCCTCTGAGCTTCTGGGATGAGGCTGGTCCTGCTGGGAAAGCTTTAATCATGGGGTCCCCCATCACCTTGCTACATCCCTGCTGGGAGCAGAGGAGTCTCAGCCTTTGTGGTGGGACCACTCCTGGCTGGTGCTGACCCCTGGTGCACCCCCATGATGCAGCTCTGCTGAGCCCCTGTTTTACACCGCGGGGCTGGTGGTCCTGCCTCGCTCCCGCACAGGTCTTTAGTGGGCACTGGGTGGAGGCACCTGGGTAGAGACCCACCAGTGGAGGTCAGGGGAGGCCCGTGAAGCCCATGGGGAAAGTGCTCAGCACTTACGTGGGAATAGCAAAGGAGACGTTGAGGTCACCGTCCCCCAGGACCTCGATGGAAGTCATCGCCATCTTCAGCTGATGCTTCATTTGGAGGTAGCTCTCATTGTCTGTGGCCATAGCCGTGATGTACCAATTCCCTGCAATCTGGCAGTGGGGGCAGGCTGTGAGCCTGGAGGAGCAGGGGGGGGCTGTTCCCTCCCCGGGGACTGAGCCAGGACACCCTCAGGCCATGGGACACCCACAACCCCTCCGGGCTCAAGGGGCCGGCTGACCACTCCCACCTGAGTGTGACAGCAGAGGCAGGGGTGCTGTGGTGTCCCCAGCACAAAGCCACCTCTGCAGTCCCCACCCTGTGACCGGTGGACACGCTCCCACCTGCCCTTCCCGGGATGCTGAGGGTCACCTTGCTCATGTCCAGCTCCGCAGCACCGAGGTCCTCAGCCCCCACACGCAGCAGGCAAAGCAGCGCCAGCCCCAGGCTCAGCCCCATGGTCCTCATCTCACCGCAGCCTTCTCTGGGTTCACCAGCGGGATGGGGAGCAGTGCCGAGGCTGCTGCATTTATAGCACCGGGCTCTCCTCCCCTCCACACACGCCGGCGCTGGGGTTGGCTGGGGCAAGGTGATGGTTTCCAAGGGCTGAAGTCATTCCAGAGTAAACAGCCTTGCAGCAGAGGGGAAGTGCCCAAAGGGCACCCGGGGGGGCTGAGGAGCAGGTTACAGGAACTCTTGGACCACACCAGTACTGAAATTCAGGATTTCCCCGATGTGCTTAGCTGGTTGTGAAAGAACAAAGAGAGATTTTGTTTACCAGCAGGATGGTGGAAGGCTGCTGGGCAGAGCGGGGACGTCCTTCACGGCACGGGACCTCCTTCCCGGCACAGGCTCCACAGCAGTGCTGTCACCCAGTGACCTGTCACCAAGGAACTCAGTGACCCATCCCTCTGGCCAGGCTGGCATCTGCCCCAAGGCTGCCGCTGGGATCATGCCCAAGCCCAGGCAGCTGCACACTGCTGATGTCCTGACCCCACAGTGCTGCACAGCTCACCCACCTCTGTGAGTGCACCTCTGCACATGCAGTGGATGCACCTGGAGCAGGGATGGCAGAAGAAGGGGTTCATGTCACTGTGGGAGTGTGTCCCCTCCTTCCCAAGGTGTGATGTCCCCTGTGCCCTGGCTCTGGCAGCATGGTCCTACCCTGGTCAGTGGGCAGATAGGGGGAACCAGGGGGATGGGAAACAGGGATGGGAAGTCCCAGTTCTGCCATGCATTTAACCTAGGCATCCACGGGGCAGCCCCAGTCCTGCCTGGGGAGCTTCAGCTGGGGATGAGCTGCCTGCCTGCCTGGAGCCAGAGCCCTGCAGGCAGGGATGGGCAGCCCAAGTGCTTAACGCTGCCTGCCCAGACCTGCTGCACAAACCCCTGTTCATCCCAGCTCAACCCTCCCCTGCCCACATCCCAGCACTGCCCCTGCACCTTCCCCATCCTCTGCTCCCCATCCTTACCACAATGGGCACAGCAAACAGCACAGTAAATGAACCCCTAACTCCCCTGGGGTGCTGAGATGAAGGGTTGGACCCTGGCCCACAGGGCTCGGGGTGCCTGGGCACCCCGACAGCACCCCTGCTCCTGTAAACAAAAGCACTGAACTCTGGGGCAGCTTCTGCACCTATTTATTTGGGAGGGTGAGGTGTGATCCTGGTGTGGGGCAGCGGAGGACAGAAAGGACAGGAAGGGGTATCATGGAGCAAGGAGCAGAGCCTGGTCTCCACCAGGTCTGGAGGACCCAAGGCCCTGGCATTGGCTCCTTCAGCTGCAGGGAGGAACGACAATGGGTGAATTAGAGCAGAGAGAGGTGATGTGATGCAGAGATCCGAGGCAGGCAGAGGGATCCCTGGGGAGCTGTGGGTCCCCGCTCAGCCTTTGCCATGCCAAGAGGGACACTCAGCATCTCCTGGCCATGCTCACCTGATAGCTGCGATGCACTGATCTGTTGAAAAGCAAAGAGAGGGGTGAGCACACCATGGGCAGTGACCTGAGCGTCCCCATACAGGGGGGCTGTGGGTGCACCCCTGCCCTGCTAGCACTCACCCGACTTGGGCAGCACAGCCAGCATGGCCTTCGTCAGCCCCATGACGGGGATGAACTCTTCAAACTTCTGCAGGAGGCAGGGGCTCACGTCCTGCTTCCTCGCTGCAGCCAGACCGACAGGGGGGGCTGATGAGTGAGGAGGGACCCGGCAGCGAGCCCCACATGGAGGGTCCGGCTCCCATGAGGCAGCAGTGGGACCCCAGGGATGGGAAAAGACGAAGACATGGAGATGCAGGGTGGACACCAGGCACCCCACCACTGCCCAGGGCTGGCAGCAAAGGGGCACAAGCCCCTTGGGATGAGCAATCCACCCACCAGGGGTGGTGTGGGGCAGCTGGTGGGGCTGGGGGACCTTCAGGTCAAACCACAACCCATGGGGGCTACTTCAGGTGCAAGGTTTAATCCACCCCAAATGAACTCCCTGGGTGGCAGCATGCAGGGTGCTGAGGCAGAGGGCCTTGGAACACAGTGGAGAGCACAGCTCCTGCCCGCCCCCCATGCCCATATCCCTCCCTGAGGAGCTGTAGGTGCCCATTCCCGCTCCTGACACCCACTGAGGAGCTGCAGCGCGATGCTGGGCTGCTGCTCGCTGTGCTGGGTCTCATGCACAATGGCGTAGTGGCTGTAGTCTGTCTCCATCACATGCAGGTCTCTCTTCTCTTGTGCTGCTAAAGGACCACAAATGGTGCCCAGTCAACACGGCACAGCCTGAGCACCTCCCAGCCCCTCCTAGTGCTCACAGCTCAGGGTCTGAGTCCAAATGTGCCTGAGGGGGTACAAAGGGAACTAGGGGACTAGACCCTCATGTGATTCAGCAGACCCAAGCCCCTACCGCAGCATGGCTCCTGGCCGAGCCATGGGGCAGAGGGGCGGTTCACTCCCTACTTGAC